ATATTATATTATATTATATTATATTATATTATATTATATTATATTATATTATATTATATCATTCAATCATTTTCTTGTTGGTTTAGTCCAACTTATCCAGCACATTTTTACACAGCGGCTGCCCTTCCAACTGCAACCCATCTCTACGAAACATCCACACACATATTCACACACACACTCATACACTACGGACAATTTAGCCTACCTAATTCACCTGTACCGCATGTCTCTGGACTGTGGGGGAAACCGGAGCACCCAGAGGAAACCCATGCGAACACAGGGAGAACATGCAAACTACACACAGAAATCCCAACTGAGAAAAGGATCGAACCAGCGACCTTCTTGCTGTGAGGCTGTGAGCCTTACCAATAATTTATTATATTATATCATATCATATTATATTACCAAAGAATTTGGTTACAAATAGGATGAAGCAAATAGAAGTATGCATAGGTGATACATCAAGTTGCAGTACAATAAAAATGTTCTACTTTTTTAGGCTAACTTTTAACGTATTACAGTCTGTGTAAATTGAATTAATGTAGATTTAACCTAAATGCCATTGCAAAATAAACGCTTTATTGTAGCACTTATTAGAGATTATTTGCTATTTAGTTGTCCACATTAAAAAATCCCTGATTTTTTGCTGAAGTGACTGCTGTAGCAAACAATCCAATGATCAATTCAATTCTAGAAGGATAAACGTCAAGTCCAACCTAGATGATGATTTCTGAAGCACAGCGAAGAGGTTTTCTGAACTCTGTCATCTTAGCACAAAGAGAAGTGCTGATACTGAAAATATTTCCTTACAGATGTATTTAACAGCAACAATAAAAAAAAAGATCACTCCAAAATACACCCCGCTCAAGGGTCAGTCTTTGTTTTACAGAGGTGCGTCTTTTCCAGAAGCACAACGAAGAATTAAACCGGTTGCCCAGCCAAACTCTGAACAAATTATTATCGATTAGGAAACGTAACCAGAAATCACCTCAGCAGAGAACCCACCGGCATCAGAGCCTATTTGATCACACTGACAGTGTCAATAAAGAGTGTTTAATCAGGGCTCCAGCAGGGAAAGCTCGGCTCAAACAAAGAGCGGATTAACTGTGCCACCACCTGCCTGTATAAGGGCTGGAAATACAATTAACCAAAGACGATGTGTCCATGACTGCTGTGTTGTGACAGTTACCATTCAAATGTGTACAGAGATACAGAGACAACAAAGCTAAAGCAAAAGAGCCTTCTCCTCTAGAATAACACTGCACCATGGATGTAGAAATTAAAGCTTATTAGGACAAACGTACCTCTTATCCATAGATATAATGTATAGATGAAGTCAGAATTATTAGCCCCCTTTTGATTTTGATTTTCTATTTTAAATATTTCCCAAATGATGTTTGACAGAGCAATGAAATGTTCACAGTATGTCTGATAATATTTTTTCTTCTGGAGAAAGTCTTATTTGTTTTATTTCAGCTAGAATAAAAGCAGTTATTAATTTTTTAAAACCATTTTTGGGACAAAATTATTAGCCCATTTAAGCTATTTTTTTTCCCGATAATCTACAGAACAAACCATCATTATACAATAACTGGCCTAATTACCCTAACCTGCCTAGTTCACCTAATTAACCTAGTTAAGCATTTAAATGTCACTTTAAGCTGTATAGAAGTGTCTTGAAAAATATCTAGTAAAATATTATTTAGTGTCATCATGACAAAGAGAAAATAAATCAGTTATTAGAAATACGTTTTTAAACTATTATGATTAGAAATGTGCTGAAACAATCTTCCCTCCATTAAACAGAAATTGGGGAAAAAATAAACAGTGGTGCTAATAATTCAAGGGTGCTAATAATTCTGACTTCAACTGTATATGCAACATTATCAGATTTGCATTTCAAATTAAAGTCGAAACAAGCTATTGGCTGTTTTTGAGAATGAGGAGGAGCTACTCTATGTCTCACCCTGTCTCACCCTGTCTTCCACCCTGTCTTCCTGTTATGCAATACTTTTTTCCAGTATGTGCTAGATTGAAAACTACCTAAAATGGCATCATTTTGAAGAAAATATACATAGGTATTTGTTTTATTGCTCGGAAATGGTACACAGTGACTCAGCCTTTTTAAACTTTTATTTTTGCCATCAAACTAAGAACTAAAGAGAACTTCCTTGAGGTATACCGAGGCCTTAAGAGGGACATGGTTAATAATATTGTGGCTGAAGCAGTTAAACTGTCTTCATAGAAGGATCGCCACTCCAAATGGTCAGACTTTGAAGATTGAAAAAAAAAAAACTTCTTTTTATTAATTGTTCACCTAAAGAATATTATGTAAATAGATCTACAGAAATCAATTTCATTTTCGTCATGTATTGTCCAGATGTTGGACTGAAGCTTTGCCTGCCTTAACATGCCTAGCACAACTACCACTTCTTACTCTTGGGAAGGTTACCCAACCTGCATCAACTTGCATGATTGTGTTCATTAACTCAAGGAGCTAACATGCAATGATGAAAGGAATTCCGCCAACGCACTTCAATAATCCATAACCTAATGATCCAGAACTTGAAGCTCAAATGACAGTTGTTCTTCATAACTGAAGAGCAGAACCACAACTGCTAGTATCTCTGGTTAACAAGGGATTGTTCTGACACATTTCCTGATAATGAGGTTAAGCTATGTTTGACAGCTGTAGAAGATGCCTTACAGCAACAGATAATACTAGAAAATCAATATAGGAATCTATTAAATCAATTATGCTGCAGTTAAATCACTTGTTACACAGCAAATGTCCAGTAAAGTGGTAACAACACTCATAGTTTTTATGCAGTTTGAAGTCTGATGTTTGAAAAAAATATAAGGGGTCACTAACTTAATAGACTCTTTTACTTTGAGAACATATTTAAGCATTTTTCTAAATCTAACTTATGGCCCGTTTCCACTTAATGCTACAGTGTGGTACGGTTCAGAATGATTTTATGACCATTACCACTGTCAAAAGGTACCCAAAAGCAAACCGTACCGTACCACTTTTTGGATACCCTTTGCAAAGGCGAATGAAAACAAGGGAACCGCCATTTTTAAATACACAGCCAAGACATTATACCAAGTGTAGAATCTATTCTATTACGACATCACAAATGACGTCAGAACATAATAATCGGTAATGAGTATTACTAAACCGATATCGAATTGTCCCCGTCTGCATCTCGGTGCACCGTAGAAATATTTAAATTTGACAACCCTAGTGAACAAACCGTTCAGCTTTACTTTAGACATTTCCTCGAGCGAAAATGATGTCGACTGAAACTTTCTGTCGTACACCACGCCCACCAAGAGTACCACTGGTCCCCGTTTAGCAGTGGAAACACAAGGCTGATAAATGTAACCTGTACTGAGCTGTATTGTACCATAGTGTACCACTTAGTGGAATGGGGCCATTAAATAAGTCCTATAGTGACTAGGGCTGGGCGATATGACAATGATCTTAATATTTATTTTCCATTTTGAACTATAACAATATATTTTTCGATATATATTTATTTATAAATTGTTAGTTCTTCCAAATTAAAAAAAAAAAAAAAAAAAAAAAAAGTACCCTAACTGTGACTGAAGCAACAAAAATTAGAGGATACATTAAATAGCACAACATATTTTTAACCGATAAATTTTCGGTGGCCGAAAATTTGGAACCTTTCTAACACTTTTCGAATCCTATTGTTGCAAATTTCTGCTATGTGATTGGCTCTTGGATCAACATAGAGTAAAAAGGTCTGGAGCTTATTGTTATTGACATAAATTTTATTAACACCATTTATTGGCCCAGCCTTAATGGTGACATTGCAAAAAATAAGATAACAACTTTTAATAACACAACAAGATAGCAATTTATTTTCATCGTTAGATACTTATCTCAATTTATTTCACCATGATTGTTTGACATTTTCAATAAACTGGGATCAGACCAAAATATTAACGAAAACAGATGAAAATCACAGAACTTAAATTACATTTACAATATTTACATGAGAAATGTTTTATTACCAATTTATTTTTATAATCAATTATAGTTAGTTAGCATAGTACGTTGAGCATTTAGCAAGTTTTTTACTGCAAAGTTTTGGATTCAGGCTGAATTATACTTCTGCGTCGAGTGATTGCCGTAACCTACGGCACATTCCTTGTCATGCATTTATACTTCTGCATGCTGTTTGTGTTGCTTTGCTATAACACTTCCGAAATGCTAGCTGGCAGTAGGTTATGTTTCTCGGTGTCTGGCTTTTTCGTTGGTGTTTTGTTTTTTATGATTGCTACCTTAATGTACAAGTTGCTGAAACTCGCTCATTCAGAGGCGGGAACCGGCAGACGTGCAACAACTTTAATTATAAGGTAAACACAAAACAAAAGTTTCCCTCTAGAGCTCCTTCACAGGAATAGACACTTGTAAAGACTCACTTTATCAGGCTCATGGCTCTCAGCACCGCCCACACATCACCGATACCAAGCCGACCAATCAGAGCTTGCGCTATGTGTCCTTGTGATGTGTAGTTACAGTTTTTGAGAATTACGTATCGGCGTAAGCCAGAGTAAGGGCTATGCAATACTTCGAAGGCTGCGTCGGACCATACACGTGTGCTTGACGTAGAAGTATAAACCTTTAGTTTATACCTTTAGTTTCAGTTACCAATAATAATCCAAATACAACTTATTTTTGTGTGTAGAATACTGTTTTCTTAACTCCTTACAAACTATGTGCCACAAAACATGATTGACACTGTTTACTTGTGAATGTACCACAAATAATCTTGCACTACTTGCTTTTACAACCTTAAAATACCTATTCTTGCGAACAAAACTACTTGCCAGATAATATAATTCATTGTAATGCTGAACCAGTTTTGAGAAACTAACAGGAAATACACAGTACTTAATAAACGCCTCAGGCATACTGAATATTTGTAATGTACTTTGGAGTGTGAATGAATTACACACACACTTACCCACAGCAGGTGCATCGTACTCATCTCCCAGCAAGATCTCAGGGGCAGAATAAGCCAGCGAGCCACAGCTGGTGGTCAGCTTCTTTCCTGGCTGGAACTTATTACTGAAGCCGAAGTCGGTGAGCTTGACCAGGCCCTGTTTCTCAAAGAACACCACATTCTCTGGCTTTAGGTCACGATGAACCACGTGTAAGCGGTGACAGTATGAGATGGCGTGCACAATCTGCGCAAAATATTTCTTGGCCAGTTCTTCGTTCAGTCCCTCTTCGTGCTTCATGATGTAATCGAACATGTCGCCACCATCGCCGAGCTCTAAGATCAGGTAGAGTTTGGTCTGTGTGTCGATGACCTCATAGAGCCGAACGATGTTGGGATGTTGGACCAGTTTCATACAGCGGACTTCCTGGAAGAGGTGACCGGTCGCGACCGTGTCAAGCTTGGTCTTGTCTATTACCTTGACTGCCACTTTTTCACCGGTGAAGACATGACGTGCTAGTTTGACGACGGCGAAATGCCCGCGGCCCAATGTCTTGTCCAGGTCATACAGTCCGGCGATCTTCCCGTCATACCCGCGCTTGATTCCTGCCATGATTGCTGGTCCTCCGGTGGGATGGAGGGGGAGTGGCCCCTGGGGGAGGGGCGGGGCTTAAACTGGAGGAAAAATCCAGCTCACTTCAGCACATTGGCTGGTAATTGCAATCCCATGATGGCAGGTTTCTGTCAGAGAGAGACCAGAACACAATTAGTTATTAGAACCATTAATAGGTATTTCAATTTTTAAATTTGTAATCTTCACATTGAAGTCCTTTATCACATCAAGCTCTGTATTTGCCAAGAGTTTGTCCAGGGACATTAAAAATTAAAGAGTTAGTCCACATAAAACTGCAGCACAACACAAATTCAGATATTTTAAGATGATATCCATGAACTCTCTTAGGTTGTTATCACACTTTGTACAGTTACAAAGCACGCTTGTCCCCCCTCCCGTCTTCCCCAACGGCCTGCACTCATATTACATTCGGGCCTGGGCATGCTCACGTCATCGATGATGCGCTGTTCAGTAAGCGCTTTCGCTCAGCACAGTGGAGATTTCTTTAGTTAAATTGTTTTAGTCATTTGGGATGCGGTGACATGCAGTCAAATATTTCGCTGAACAGATCCGCCACTTTTGACGCTCATAAACAATCATAAAGTCCTTGTGCTGCAGGAATTAGGAGGTTTGCTGAAGGTGCGCAGCTTTCGTGCCTAGTGACGGGTTTGCATCTTCAATAACCTACGATAGTTTGCGTTTATTGAACAGTAAGAATGATTAATAAATCCATATGAAACAGTCCCTTAACAGTCACGTCTCGCTTTCAGTTTTGGGCTCTGGTGCATTTTGCACTCACATACAAGCGTACCGCGCCAAAGCCCAAGTGAACCGCGCCTGAGCCCGATTCAGAGCACTCACACTTCTCAAACGATTCGGGAAATGGGCCTGGGCACGGTTCGGATAGCATAGTGTGAGTAGGCCCTTCATATACAACAGTGGTCGTCAACACGTCGATCGTGACTCTACAGCAGGGGTTTCAAACTCAAACTGGTGAGGGGCCATTTTAGTGACTGGCAATTCATAGCAGGGCCATTTTAACATTTAAGCACCAGAAAAAAAGTGTAAACCTGATATAACTGATGCATCTTAGGACAACAGACATGATGTTTGTATTTCAAGCATTAGCTGTCACTGGTGATAATGCAAATGTGCACATTTATCGTGTCACACATCAGCTGCTGAAATATATCTGTGGTGGTTGTGTGTATGGCCGAGCGTTGTGTGAAGGGGGATATATCGAATATTGAAGGGGAAATTAAACTGATATGAAAATACTACAAATAATAGGCATAATAATTTTCATTCTGTCCCAGCCAATTGTTTTATCCCAGTAGCGCAAGAAGAGCAGAAAGCAGTTTGGGTAACTTAAATTTCTTTACTGGCAATTGTTCTCAAATTCCTTATTTTTTATAAAACTATAACTGAGAGGGGACAAGTATGTATGTAGTCACAATTACTTCAGTTCCAATTCAATCAGCAGTACAATTCTACTAATGTGTATGTTTTTATGCAAATCTTAATAATCATGAGGAGAAGTTATTAAATGAGACTATTTGAATCAAATATTCGCAAAATTATCATATTTGTTACACCACCAGCATAACGTGTAAACCATGAAGAAGTGTTTGTACAACAAAATACAGATGGTATAAAACTGATAATAAAACAACGCTTGAATATTTACAAAAATAGAGCTTTAGTAAAAATAGAGAACTTGCGAACATATATTTTAACGTTTAAATCAGCCACAGAACAAAACGAATGTGTGTTACTCTCGGACCGCAAACTGAGAGAAAATAATGTTAAAATTAATCTGAGTGCAGGACTTAAATGATGACTAGGTGGCGGGTGAAAACCACAAGTAACTAGACGCGACGGCAAAACAATAATAGTGGTTAAAAAACATATGTTTTGGCGGGGCCGAATCTTGTTCATTTTTGACGTCAGTCGCAGGCCATAGGGAGGAGGAGGGCGGGTAGTTTGAGACCCCTGCTCTACAGGTATCAGAAGGTAAGTGGAAGAAACTAGATCCCGGTACAAAAGGTTTTTTTTAGATTCTCCGTGTTTAATTTTCTTTTTTAAATACAGTATATTGTGCCGTCAAACTGATGAATAAAGCAATACCAAACTCGTAGCAGTGAGATAGGGCTGTATATCGTCACTGGTGGGACACTAAAGGCTGATTTATACTTCTGCATCGAGTGATTGGCTTGACCCATGGCACATTCTTTGTGCATAGCTCTGCATTTATACTTCTGTTCTGCACGCTGTTTGTATTGCTCTGCAATAACACTCCAAAACTCTAGCTGGCGGTTGGTTTTTATGTTCCTCTGTGTCGAGTTTCTTTGCAGGTTTTTTGTTTTTTTCTACATGCTATAAGTAGCTCAAACTTGGTCATTTAGAGGCGGGAACCGGCGGATGTGCAACAACTTTAATCATGAGGTAAACACAAAACAAAAGTTTCCATCTGCATCTCCTTCACGGGACTCAACACTTGTAAACACTCGCGGCTCTCAGCAACGGCCACGCTCGTAACCAAGAGGAACAATAACAGAGTTTGCACTACGCATCATTGTGACATGTAGTTACATTAGTGCCTTGATATACGTTTAAAACCCCCTGAAGAATGTAACAGGGTTCAACGCTAAGGACATTTTCTACTGGCCCGACTGGACCAGCAGTTCAGATTTTTACTTGCCCTGCCAAAATTTTTACTGGCCCCACCAAAATAAATAAATAAATAGCTTTTTTTTAGCCATATATTTTAAATAAAGTGTCAAAAATATTGTCTTTGAATCTAGAATTTAAATATTTTTAAAATGTTAAAATATTTAGCAGTAAAATACAGCAGTATGGAAAATGTGCAGGTATTTTATTGGCAAACAAAAAGTGGATGACTTAAAAGTGATGAAAAACTATGCAAAACATCACTTCATTTTTTTCGTTGTGTTGTACCCATGTAAATATCTTTTCCCACAACGTTGGAAACAGACGTTTTCTTTTAGCCTCATAATTTGATGTTGCCGTCTCATCACTGTTCTGGTTTTTACCAGGTTGTGGAAAAAAATAACGTGCTGCTCACAACAACCAATTAGATAAAAGGAACCAAAAAGCAATATGGTGTTTATGACTTTACAGAAAACGTAGCATTCTGAGACTTAAAAGCACAAATTGTTTCTCGATTCTAAGACTGTATTTGTACTCAATTGACAAATAGTAGCAGACAAATTAAAATTGAATGACAAGACAGTACTGGCCTGATCGGGCCAGTAACGATTCTCTCTACTGTCCTGAACATCTCTCATGCTGGCCCGGGGCCATCGGGCAGTCCTTATTGTTGAGCCCTGAATGTGTATTTATTGCTTCTTCAGTTATATAAAAGCTCAAACATACAGTTAATGCAATCTTAATCAAGTGTTTCAGATTTAAGATGAGCTTTCAATTCTAGTTTCAGTAATACGGGATTCTCATGCTTGTATGGCCATAACAGCTATATATCAGAAATATTTCCATCATCCCAGGCTATAGAGAGAGGTTGCACCGCCACAGGCTTCAACGAGGACCATCATAGATTTGTATTGATTTCTTCTTGTTAGTGAAAAAATAAAAGCCACGAGTATGGCTTGTAAGCCTGTGCTCCAGAGGAGACGCTGCCTCCTAAAAGGGCTGATTCAATTTTAGTGGCATTAACCTCAGGCCAGTGTTGGAGATGACTACCATGACTTTCACATGTTCGTAGCATATTTATAATCCATTTGTTCCAAAGAAAAAAAAAATTGTATATGATACAGTATACACTGTATAATATATATATATATATATATATATATATATATATATATATATATATATATATATATATATATATATATATATATATATATATATTAGTTAAACGATTAAAAATATTATTTTATATATTTATAGTTGGCTGCAGGGGCCGATTGAATGCGATTTTGTGTTAAAAGGGGCATCTTTTGAATGGTTTACAAATAGTTTACTACATTCATAAATATTCCTAGCAAATCTAATAAATGTTGGAGACATAATCACTACATAAACGAGCTAAATCGCATTTCAGCAGTGCTTATTTAAGAGCGCACAAGAAGATCTGCGCTTGATCCGCCTATATTTGGGGGCGTGCGAGAGGTTTTGTGCATAAGCAGAGGAAATCGTTGTGCAAGCAAAGAGTACTACACTTAAATATGATCTTGACTTGTAATACTGCGTTTATAACATTTCTCTATTTGTCGTTGAAATAACGCCATAGGTAGTTAGATTTGTGTAAAAGGTCTGCCACCACAGCTGGAAAAACTCCTAGAGGAAACACTGAAGATGTAGGAGACTAGTGCTCACTGTTTAAGTTATACAGAGCTGTATGAATTTACAAATCTTGAATATTCACAATATTATTTATCATTAATTAATCAACCTTATAATTCCAAGGTGACGATATGTTTGAGAATTAACAATAATAATAGGCTACTCATATTAACCTTTATTTTATTTTTAAAAAATTGTGAGAAAGAATCGAGATCTTGATTTAAAGCAAAAAAAATTGTGATTCACATTTTAGCCAGAATTCGCCCTAATACAGAGTGTCAATTTAAAAATGAGACGAGTATTTTTTTCTAAGTTACTGAGGCATGCCGAGGATAACTCTCACAGTACCTCTAGACTTTGAGTTGCACATTATGAATTACTAAACACAATTATAGTTCAGCTAAAAATATTTTATCTTAATTCATTAACATTCTGAATGGCTTGAGGGTAAATAACTTAACAGCCACTTTTAATTCTTAGATGAACTATCCTTTTAGTTGGTCACATTTCTTTAGAATTGGGTGTAACACAAAATTTCCTTTTGTTAACACCAGAATAGCACAAATGAACACAACAGGAAGCAGTGTTCATAGGCAAATGAAGTTCACATTTTAATGTGTTGTTTGGGCATTATTTATTTAACTCTTAAATAGCGGACACTCATACTTAAGTCAAATGCCTCACATGCTAATAGTTTGCTGTGGATGTAAACAAGCAATTCCAAACTTACACCAAGTAAAATTAGGCTGTTTATAAGTTATCATTTGTACATTCCAAAAGAGAGTTTATGAATCAATGGCAT